GATCATTTTTTTCCATTAGTAGTTGTTGTACTACATCCAATTACAACATATTTGCTATTAATATCTGTTATCATAATCATATTTTTGTTATGTTCAGTTAGTTTCTTTAATATATTAATATCTATAGTTTTTGACAGTAAATATCTGCTACTGTAATACATTCAGTACTTGGTAGGTGGACATCTATTGTTATTGATGGAGAACAGTAAATATCTGCTACTGTAATACATTCAGTACTTGGTAGGTGGACATCTATTGTTATTGATTCATTATTTATATCAGTCGCTATCTGTGTGATCAACAGAGTTGGTTTATAAAATATCTGCTACTGTAATACATTCAGTACTTGGTAGGTGGACATCTATTGTTATTGATTCATTATTTATATCAGTCGCTATCTGTGTGATCAACAGAGTTGGTTTATAAAATAGTGTTATACTCCTATTCTGGTCATTTGTTTATTAAATCTGTCTTTTCTGATCGACATATATCCAAAAAATTTAAAGTTATATACATTATTCAGCATAATTTCTGTGATTACTATTAGTATACATCAGTATTTGTTTGTGTTATTATGACTCGATCTCGTGCCTCTAGGAACCTTGATATTAATGTGTTGTACTGTGAATTTTAGGCGAAAAATGAACCCACGTGTTGTTGTATTATGTATAGAATAATTGTTGTGAAATGTTTCTCGGTTACTGTAATGAGTAGTGTGATGCAGTCTTGTTGGTTAAGAGGGTTTTGATATTCACTAATAAAAAAGGGTGTTTTTGGCAGCTTCCATTATGGGGTTACTTTCTGTGCTGATGATTGATTTGTGGTTGTTTTTGGTATGTCAGATTGCGGTTTGTTTTGTGGTTGTGTTTATTTGATCATTAGTTATATTCAGTTGTTATTCTGTACTTGTTTTTGTTTGTGGCTGTGTTTGCTTCTTTGAGTAATATGTTTGTTGATTACGAACTACTGCGGGATATGTAAGTGCTGGTTGTGTAGTTGGTGTTTGGGGGGGTGTTATTTTTGTCGGTTTATGTTGTGTGTGGTTCGTTTTTGTGTGTTGTGTAGTTGTTCTTTGTTTCAGTTTCGTTATATTTAGAACATCCTTTATAGTTTGCTGTATGTTGTTACTTACAATTACAGCAGTAGAGATCTTCGTGTTCTTTTGAGCATTGTGTGTTATCGTGATCTCCACCACAGCCCATGCAACGTGGGAGAGATTTACAAGGTGGCATAATATGTACGTAGCGTTGGCAATTGAAACATTGCGTGAAGGTGCTTCACGACTACGGCTGGCGTTTTAGTTTTCTCGATTTGAAATCTCTGATACCAGAGTATAATACCATTTTGTATTAGCCTGGACATCCTGTGTTTCTTGTTCAGACAATTCTATAATGTTTCTTGGTTTTTGTGTTATGCTTGAGATTATGCTTTCGACTTTCGTGAATGAAATATTATTGTGTAAGTTCATCCTTTATCCGTTCTATTTATCTGTTTATTCCTGTAATGGTAATTATTTTTGAATTTGGTTTCGTCTCTTGCAAATGAATGGAAATATTACCTAGATTGAAGGCGTTTTGGGGCTATTCTTTAAGTAGGCTGTTTAGGTCAGCCGCTTCTGTCCCTCGTAAGCGTATCTTCACAAATTACTTAGCGTTTTTAATTTCAGTCACTAGGTGGTTTTCCAAATTTTACGTCCGATCGAGGTAGTTAAAGAGATGACTTAATTGTTCATGGTGTCAAAAATAAACACATTTCATTTTACCAATACCACACGAACTTCCCAGTACTCACATCTTGAACTATATGTAAAAAAACACTGAAAGAGAACAGACCCTAATGATAGAAATTAATAAGACGAACACATCGACATTCGCTGGGATAACTTCGAAATTTGTATAATTTTATAACTTAAAAAAAAATAATGGAATCTTATGGAATGAAAAACCATTTACAGTCATCTAAGAAAATATTCCAGTTATATTAAAGTTAAAGATATTAAAAATGACCTTGTGCGGTGAAATATACTTTCGAGGCGTATTATCTTTAGTTAAAACCATAAGTTAGATACTGCTCGGCCCAGAAAGACACAACGTTTCATTAAGTTAAATTTGTAAAGTCAGGCGAATAAAGATACCCTTTAACTGGAACGCGGATTATACAACCATCGGTAATTGACATTCAAACCCATCCCTGTAACTGTATCGTGTCACCGATGTTGTTAGGTTCTTACAAAACTATGCACAAGGGCTATCCTACCCTAATTTTGAAATAACAGACTGGAGGGAAGGTATCTAGTGTCAACAACACCCACCGCCAACTCTTGGGCTATTCATGTCTGATCGGATAATGAATTTAACCATCACTCTTAAAATTCACCGCAGCCTCAGAGTGCTGAGCGTGATTTTACGGCAACTGGACAGGACTCGTTTATAGTCCGGCACTAGACTAACCACTAGGTCCGGCCCATATTTACGGATAAAGGTTTGGGAATTACAACCATACAGGTAGCTGTTGTATATATTAATGAAGTCTTCCTTACTGATATTGTTACGTCTCCGTTCGTTAGTTAATTTTCCGTAAAAATTCTTTCCGATGAAACTTTAGTGACACAAGTCCTTTCTTAATAAAACTGGTTTATTCTTTCTGAATACAACTTTGCAATACACTTAATTTTCACAGTCATGCTATAACAAACGCTATAATTCACAACGAACGCCTCACGTGCTCGACTCAACAATATGTCTCTCTCTCTGTCCGCAATTCAATTACATTGTTGCCGTCACGTCTTGACCGTCTTATATATACAAGACTACCGCATATCTAGTAAACGCTAGAGCATTCAGGAAGGGACAGGATACTTCTAGAAGTCAATGACGTGTTACTAGCGTCACGTGACTTCCGCTGTCGTAACAATATGATGAAGCCAATTATTATTACTTTGTAATCAATGTTGTAATGAAGTCAGCGACTTGGTACGATCACATATAAATATTTTATGTGCATAGGCGGCCTCAAAACTAAATGACTCCGCTTTAAAATGTTTCCGATACCTAAAGAAATTGTTTCGGAAGTGACAAGAATTCCTAATCAGAAGCAAATGTAACATCAGATAGGTGTACATATGAAGCTTTCTCATAAAAAAAACTTTATTCTAACACTTTATCATTAGTTTCAATAAACTTTTCGTTGCCCCCAGGAAGCTTGAGGGGCTTATGATGATAAAAACCAGTGGCACGTCTCAAGTAGCTTTTCACTTAACAACCACCACAAAAAACTTTTGCATGAATGTTTAAAAGAAATACGTGAATTAAAATCAGAAATTTTTTTTTGTCACATTTGTTATTCGATTAATTTATTTAATACCACGTATGGGACAAACAAGTTCCTTAAAAAACAAAACAAATATTAAACTTGAATTAGATTTATCTTCAAAACATTTCACTGAAATGTTTAACTATCCACTCAGATTATTGATGCACAATTCGTTTCAATATGCTGTCAGAAGCCGGAGCTACATTAGCTATATAATATACTGTTAAAAATATCTAATGTTTGGCTAGTGGTTTGTTTGTTTTTGAATTTCGAGCAAAGCTACACGAGGGCTATCTGTGCTAGCCGTCCCTAATTTAGCAGTGTAAGACTAGAGGGAAGGCAGCTAGTCATCACCAACCACCGCCAACTCTTGGGCTACTCTTTTACCAACGAATAGTGGGATTGACCATCACATTATAACGCCCCCACGGCTGAAAGGGCGAGCATGTTTGGTGTAACGGGGATTCGAACCCGCGACCCTCAGATTGTGAGTCGAGTGCCTTAACCACCTGGCCATGCCGGGCTTGGCTAGTGGAAAATAATAATAATAATGTTGTACTTAGATAGTAGTTTAAATGGTGAATTATTTGATCCATATAACAATATTTAAATGGTGATTAAAGCCTGTGAATTATTACGTTAAATACACATACCTCTAGATGCTCATTTATACTGATGAAATAATAAAAACACATCAGCCTTTAGATGTTGATTTTTCCTGGTGGAATATTAATCAATACATCAGCCATTAGAGGTTGATTTGTCCTCTTGGAATATTAATCAACACATCAGTTTTTAGGTGTTGATTTGTACCAGTGATATATTAACTAACACATCAGCCATTAGAGGTTGATTTGTCCTCTTGGAATATTAATCAACATATCAGTTTTTAGGTGTTAATTTGTACCAGTGATATATTAACTAACACATCAGCCATTAGAGGTTGATTTGTCCTCACGGAATATTAATCAACACACCAGTTTTTAAGAGTTGAGTTATACCGGTGAAATATTAACTAACACATCAGCCTTTAGAGGTTCATTTTTGTCCTGTTGAAGTGTTGAAACACTAATCTTTCATCTCTTTCATTGCAGAAAAATTTGTAGCTATTACATTTTCATAATTTGTTGTATCCTGTTATAAAATCTTATTGTAATTGTTGAGAATAAATAAAGCTCTCCACAAGTCATTTTTGACAAAAAAAACATTAAATAGAGTTAAGTGCTTTGCTCTTTATGTTGAATATAAAAGAGGTAATACAGCTTTTTCAATGTAATGTGAAATTGAATAAGATTTTCTGTGATTGACAGGATGGTTTATGATCTCAGATGTTGTTAATAAAGTGTTTCTGTGATTGACAGGAGGGTTTATAGTCTCAGATGTTATTATTTAATAAAGTTTTTCTGTGATTGACAGGAGGGTTTAATGTCTTGGATGTTGTTAATAAAGATTTTCTGTGATTGACAGGAGGGTTTATGGTCTCAGATGTTGTTAATTAATAAAGATTTTCTGTGATTGACAGGAGGGTTTATGGTCTCAGATGTTGTTAATAAAGATTTTCTATGATTGACAGGAAGGTTTATGGTCTCAGATGTTGTTAATTAATAAAGTTTTCCTGTGATTGAAAGGAGGGTTTATGGTCTCAGATGTTGTTAATTAATAAAGTTTTTGACACTGACGACATAAAATAACTAATGTACTACAGAAAAGAATGGTAACTTCTTTTTCCACTTTTTATTTATTCTTATCTTAGAAAAATACAGGTCGGTAACCATGTCTGTTAACAGTCAAATGATAAAGGGACAGTTTAATGATTACTTTCACCTAACATTTTGAGTTTTAAAGAATTGTAATTTTTCATTCTGAACAGCACATTACATTCATGTGGGCTAAATGCCCAGGTCAGAGAATAGCTGCAGAATAATCTTGTGTTTGAAATATAAAATCTTCATAACACTAATTTTTAATGACACAGATATAACTTTAAACTTGAAATTCAACGATTCTTCTATATTTCTTTTAATAATAACAATTGTGAAGAACAAATTTTAACTAATTTTCAGCTGCATATTAACATAAGGTGGCTCTGATACACTGAAAATGTCTAATACAAAAGGCCTTAGATGTAATTCAAAAACATTCCTAGAAACATGGATTTAATCACTTCTCCAAATTTCTTATATTTGGAACTCATTCTTAAACAACTTCACTTTAGGTGATCTTGTTCTCAAGTTTATATTTTATTTTTGAAGTACATTTTCTGATAACATTGGTACACCTTTTCAATGTGTTTTACTTTGTTTTTACAAAAGATGAGGAGAATCTTTGTAGCAGTAAGCATAAAATTTTACAAACTAAATACAGCACTAAGTGAAATAACCACTTACAGATGGTTGAAAATGTTAAAACTTTGATTTAAGTCAGTATATAACACAAATCTACATAAACAATTGATAACCAGCATAAAATCAATTATTGAATTTTTATAATGCATATTGGAATATAAGATAATTCTAAAAATAAATGACCTTATAACACCAAATTTAGATATTTATTTTGTTAGATTTATTATTCAATTGGATGCCCAATGTTTTGCTTTACAGCTTCTTCAGGAGTGTTACACTAAAACATAAGTGAAAGTATAAAACTTGAAATGGTATATATATATATAAGAAATTCTAATCAACTTCTACAGTGCATTTTTGATATTCTAAATAGTAAAGCTTATTGTTTAAAATTTAAATTGTTCTCTATAGTAACACAAATTCCTATTGAAAACAAATATTAAAAGTCAAGGTAGAAAACAAAAATTTACAAGTGCCATCGTTTGTTCCTGATCATCTGTGGTCATAGTTGTTGGATGACAAGAGCTTCTTTAAATTTTCTATTGGTATATTTAGTGTCCTCGATAAGGAACTGTACAGAGAAGGTTGGATTCATGCCATGAGTTACTTAGCCATGATTAGTTAAAAATGACTTACAACTGCATTTTTGTCATGTTGTAGTTTATAAAGTTCTTTTATCCTTGTGTATAGGGTTCTTCTGGTTTCACCAATGTACATATGATAGCAAATGTTACATGTAATTTGGTAAACAACACTGGAAGCAAGATAGCCATCTTTAGATTGTAAACACTTTTTTGTAAGACAGCAGACTTTATTACAATAATGGGTAATGTACAAGATTTTGAAAGTTGAATTTTGGGAATTGGACCCAGTCATTCTGTAACTTTCATAGGCATTTCATATTTCTTGATTATTGTTTTGTCATATTTTAGGGAAATTGTTATTTTTCTTTTATGGTGAAAAGTTAGATATTCGTTATTTAAAAGGAGAAACTTTAGTTTAGATCGAGAAGTATTTCTTTATCTATTTCATTACTGCAATTGTGGTAAATTCTTTTTAATTCTCCAATAACAGCAACTTTCTTGGAAGTGTTTAGACGATGGGAGTTGAAGTGACGAAAGTAGTTTGTTTTATTAAACAAGGTAAATTGTATATTACTGATCATCAAGATAATGTCAAGAAAATCTGTAATGTAATGTTTAATAGCATTCTGTTTTCTATGTAAACACATCTCAATAAGTTAGCAACATATATAAGTATTTTTTTTAATACAACTCTGATCTAGAACCCTTGATAGCAGCTTCCCAGCTAAACAACTGCTGTTTACTGTAATGTGATATTTTTTCAATGTAATAATATACTTAATAACTTGTGTGAAAATGAAATTGATAAATATTCTTATCACATACGCAACTAATTCTACTTCATAAAGTAATTCTACTTTGTCCCAACTACTGGTATATGAAAATGTGAACAATGTGTTATGTTGATGTCCAAGGTTGGTACAAAATGTGTAAACAATTAGAAGCTGCGACACTACCTTTTTCTAGTCTACCATAGTAGGTCCAACTTGTTACCCTCAATTTAATGTGATGCATTACTTTTTCGTGTCTTTTGTCAATATATAAAAATAAAAATTTATATATACAGACACACACACTCACACACACACAAAATCTTTTGAAGAGGTACGATTATAAAAATATCACATGTACTAAACTTTTTTAGTATGATACATTTAAGTTGTCAGAAAAATCTTAATCGACAAATCAAAGAATTAAAAAAATTAAACAAGAGGGAATTCCCACTAGATGTAGCACTTGAATTAATTTATTAAGTAAATTAATCTATGAGACCTTTTTTTCCTTTTTATTAGATATATTTTGTGAACAAGCAATACCAAGCATGGGGTGCTCATATATGATTCAATTTTATTATTCATCAGGATCTCTACCAGCCTACCCTCAAATTGAAATTCTTTTACACAGGATTAGAGTAAATTAATCTACGAGACCTTGTGTGTGGTCAAATACATTAATCAAAATGGTTTGACCTCCTGAGTCTAAAACTGTAATTAGATCTCAAATCAGTCAAGAGATGACAGAGCTATGAACTAAAATTTTGTACTTGAAAAAAAAACAAAAAAAAACTATAAACCCAGAGCCTTTCTATGAGCCTCTATCCCATGGGTAAAAATTAAATATTTTGACAATTTTATTTCCAATAGTTCAAGAAATGTTGCACATCTATCCAGTTTCATTTAGAATGATAGATGAAAAATTATATTGTACTATGAAAAATATTTTCATTAACTTAAGTATTTTGAAAAAGAAAGTACAAAATTCATTGACTGCTTCAGACATAACAAGATTTCAAATGAGCTATTATCTCATCAGCATTAATTTCTTTTTCTAGTAAATTAAGCCTAAATTGTCTATATTCCTGACTATTAATCACTAGTTTATTTTCATCAATCTGAGCTGACTCTGAACATTCTAGTTCACTCACATTAGCAGCCAGTTCCGTAGGAGGGTCAAACACTGAAGAAGATGGAACCACAAGTGCCGACTTGATAATGCCAGTTTCTTCTCTAATTGCATTTATACACAATGACTTCAACTGTTGGTGTAATGTTTCCTCTCCTGTCTGTTCAATTAACACATCTTCGGGCAAAGCATTATACAACCAGTGAATAAACAGTGCTAAATGGCTGTTATCACTTGAAAAATAAAAATATTACATTTAATTCTACAGAAAAGCAAATATATCACACAAACTTAATATAGACAAAATAAACTCTCTCAATGTCTTCCTCAGAATATATCCTGTAAACATTCCATCTATTCTGTCCTTAAATGTTTTTACAGTACTGTTTTCTAGTCCTCTTTCAATCTTGAGGGATCACTTTGAGTAAGTTACTGTGACCATAACTTGATTATTAAAAATATTTCTATATTTTAAATAATTTTAAGGATAAATTTATATATTTTTTTTAGTGAAGAACAGCTGAACTCAAAAAATTCTGAAAAATATTGGTATTAAACAAAGTACTAAAATTGCCTCTTTTTCATTGAAAGAACAACAGGATAAAGCTAAAATTGTGTTTTCAAATTTGTATACTTGTGTTATGGTAGAAAGAGAGCATAGTGTTTTGGTTCAAGCAATGTCCTGTTGCTAGTGGCAGGGCAAATATAATTTTAGGTTGTATCTACAGAAACATTGATTACAAGTCTAAAGAAGTTATAATGTCACTGTATAGGTCACTGGTTAGACCACATGCAGAGTATTGTGTTCAGTCTTGGGCTCCTTACCTCAGAAAGAACATTAGATTGTTGGAAAGGGTTCAGAGGAGAGCTACTAGAATAATAACTTGGATGTAAAGGTTATCTTATAGGATAGGAAAGATCTCTGAACTTGTTTTCATTTGAAAAAAGAAGAGTTAGAGGGGGTCAAATTGAAGTGTTGAAGATTGTTAAGGGAACTGATAGGTTGATGCACCATATTTCTTTTGCATATTTAATTGTGAAAATGGTAAGACTAAGGGGCAAAAATATAAAATTTAGCAGGAAAGAGGTCATTTTCAGCTAAGATAGCTTATTTTTTTATAACAGGGTGGTTGGCTTCTAGAAAGGGTTGCCTTCAGATGTGATGGATGCAATTAATTTAATGAAGTTTAAGGGAAAGCTTGATAAATATTTGAATGATAATGGCTGGTTTTGAGTTTCTTGTTTTTAGGGTTCAATTTCTAGATGGAACAGAAGGTCCCTTGCTCTCCTTTAATTTTATGTTAAGTTATGATGTGAAAGTGATGTATTAGCAGGAAATGGTTGGACAATCACATGACTAGCAGCCTGTACAATATGACAAAACAAGACATCAGAAAAGAAAATATGAAGAATTAAAAATCATCTACCAATTTTCTGAGAACTTACTTGTAGAAAAGTTCCAACACTGCATGTTTTGTATCCAGTAATCTGGTTGTAAAGTTTATTCCATAAAGGGGAGAGAATTTTTCTTGAAAAACAAACAATCTTGTATTAAGATGATGTAACATTACTGGTGGATGGTGTTGGAAGCAAGACACTAAAATCTTCTCCAGGAATGAAAGATCAGAATGATAAGTTTGTATCTTTAGTGCTAACCTTTCCTGTAGTGCTCTTAAAGACATCATTCGCTGGATGATGGAGAGCTTTCCTGGAAAGTCAGAATATTATTATGTTACAAAAATTAATATCAAACTTCACTTGTATAATATACTTAGATTTTCTGTTTGTTCAACTTCCTTTTTTTTTGAAATAGCACAGTTACAGTTAACAGGTTTGGTACAAAATGTTTAGCTAATTTCTTCCAAGGATATTTAGAAGAAAAAATTCTACTAGTCTCAAATTTGAGCCAATTCTGTATTAATTATTTTGTGTGAAGCTTTATTCTTTACAAATAAGATGTTCTTCATTTAATTTATATTGAAGTTCAAACATTTTTAATAGTTGCCATTATATGCTGCTCCTTTATGGATCTGTGTTTTGTCTCATTCTTTTCATAAACCAATAATTACAAGCATAAGGGAAATACATCCCAAAGTCCAAGATCTGAGAGCCTCCTGTTATTAGTGAACTTAACTTCTATGCTCTGCTTATAATCTGCAAGATACCACAAAAGTCATAAATGTTCAAACAATAAGGCCATTTATAAAAAGTGGTTCATCAATGAAAGAAAACAAAAAGAAGGACCAATGTCCATGGAATGTTGTCTGAACTTTCAGGATTGTAGATTAACTTACAGAACTTGAAATTTTAGACTTATTTTTTTAAAAAAAGATAAATACAGCAGTTAAGTTTGAGTATTTAACTATATTTGTACTTTTAATACCTGAATGCAGGTTTCTGATCTTACAAAAAAGGCTTAGTTTTAAATAAATGACTATATGCTAACAAAGGAATTATTTTGATACAGACCATCCACTGTTATTCTTTCTGACAATATGCACATTTCAAAAGAAATTTCTGACAGTATATGCGATAATCTTCAGCTATCTATAAAAAAAAATGTTCCTAACAATTTTTTCTTATTAAATACTTTACTTGCAAATGCAGCAACACAGAGTCTGAATCACAAATGTTTTACATAATACTGTCTATGTGTAAATTGTTTAGTATTACAATGTTATTTGAATGAGTAAATAAGTTGTAAGTATATATGTATGTCAGTATAGTATGTTACAGCTAGATGGAAGCAAGAACTAACAAGTATCTGCTTTGTAAATCCTAATTTACAACTATAACAAAGTTCTTTTGCTAAGCCTTAACCAGAGTATTTATATTCCTCTTCTGTCAAATTAAGTTAAAAGAAACAGGAACAAAAAGTTAATACCAATTTTTAAAGAAATGTTTCAGCTGTGTGTTTAGATGCATGTCTTTTTTAAAAACTTTAAAATTATATGAACAATGTAATTACATTTGAACATTAACATTCACATGCATTACTTTTACAAGTTTTAGCAAGAATCACCTCTGTAACACAATTTTCAGATTTCGCTGAAGATTGAATAAGTTACTCCGAAATGTTCGAACCTTGTAAATAAAATGTTTTATGTATTATTAACTGTCTTCATCTTCATTATTAAACTTTGGTTTCCCCATCATGAATCTATTGAATTATTTTCATTTTGTATTATCAAAGAATTCAGGATATAAAACAAGTTCATGAGTTTTGCTACAAGTTTCTAGTAGAATTTGAGAGAAGCCATAAAATAATGTAAATTCTATACAACAACAGGACCTACCATCATTATTCAGTGCATCTTCTGACATTTCCCAAATATCACCTGCATGTACAGTAGAGCTAACAGGTAACTGGTGTATCTTCTGAGAAGAATCACATGTCCAAGATATCGTAGCACAAACTTCAAGTGATGCTGAAGTAAACAAAGGGAGAGGTGACACTACTACAAGTGAAACCATGTCTTTAAGATGTAAGACCTCATCTTTATATTTGTCCAAAATGCTAGGCTGGCTTGACATCCCTTCACTCATATGATTAAACACAGTACAATTAAATTCTGTCTCTCCTTGTTCCATATTAATAGATATTTCATGAAAACGAACAGATCTGAAAATCAAAACATAGCAGTACAAAATAAGTGATGGACAAATTTGTTTTTGTCCATTTTACTACACCCCCCCCAATAAAAACAACAACATATATTATGGTAAGTTTTTATTTTTAATGGCTATGATATTATAAGTTATTGTAGTTTATCTTTATATTATCTTATACTAATCTACATGACGTGTATCTGTAACTTTACCTATTAATGATCACAGTTTAGAAACTATCTCTACCTGCCAGTAACATTTTTCAGCATCCACCCAATGATCCACTTGTTTTGGATAACAGTTTGCCAATGAGACACGACTTCAAGATCAATTTCTTTACCTTGAACAGGAAAATTTGTTGAAAGATGGCTTGTTTCAGGTCCCACAAGAGTAACCAACTTTGGATACACATCATTCTTATAAAGAAAAAAGTTTGTTGTAACACTAGAACTTGTAACTACAGAAAATACTGTCAAATTTTGTAATAAGCAAGAAAAATATTTAAGGCTTTAATAACTGATTGTAAAATAAGAATGGAATAAAATTATTTATTTACCATTGGATGCATAACTAATACTTCAATGTACACTTAATCTAAGCCTCTTTTTCTCTCTCTCTCTGTTTCTGTTCATTCTTACATAATGTTGTAGCTTTTAAACATTTTTTGCTTATCTAATATTTTTAAGATACACTTGATTTTCAGAAATCTCTCACTTTGACTACTCAAGTAATACACATCATATCTCTGAAGACAGACCAGACAAGAGGAGGAAGGGGGGAATTAAGCCATTGAGAATAAAGTAAATATTTTAATTCCATTTTAGTTTTGAAAATGCAAATCTTACTACCTTATCTTACCTCAAGATGGACAGGTAACTAAACCCATCCCACTAGATAGGAGAAGAGCCAAGATGGACAGGTAGCTAAAACCATTCCACTAAATAGGAGGAAAATGCTAGAACAAAACAGGAGATAGATCACTCAATAAATTGAGAGTGAGTAAGAATGATGAAGGCAATTTCCTAGATTGAGACAATAGAAAGGACAGATTTCCTAACAAGAGAGTTAGGTGCATTGTATGGGTCTGAAAGCAGGAGAAAGCACCTGTCTCAAGTATGGAAGAAGACCAGAACATACAAAGGACACTGATCATTCTGAGTGATTTGGCTATGAAAAGCTTGTACTTGAGCATGACACAAGATACAAAATGTTGGAGGTCCTTTAAGAAGAACTTGTCATGTCGAGGACAGGCACAATATGGAATATTTCTTCCTGAGAACAATGTAACAATCTCATGACAAACCTGGACCTTACACATTTATCAAGAGCAACTAACTTTCATAGTCTAAAGGACAGTGCAATGAGTTATAGGACTCTTAACAAGAAAACCTATATAGACAATGTGACTTATGTTAGAAGTCTTCTATGAACTAAGCATAGAAATAAGCATATATGATGCATGAAAATTTTCCTCGTGAAAACTATGAATAAAAAATTTTAGTAGATATGTAGAATTTACTTTTATTAAACATTATTATACTGTATTGTAACTTACTATTATCAAATCTGTCAAATCAAAAATTAAGTTACTTTAAGTTTTTCTAGTTTTATTTCAGTTCTTTTAGCAAATATGCATTTCTTTTAATTTTTATAGTATATTTACTTCCTATAAAGCCAACATGGGTTACATGCTGAAGTCCTTGTTTCAAACAGATTTTACATGTAGAATGGTATGTCTTGAATTTTTTCTTTAATTCTTGTTCTTTGTAATAATTTTGAAATGAAAAAAGAGTTCCTATCAATACAATGAAACTAGCATTGATGTAAAAAAAGTTTCAAATTGTGTTTTGGGAAAACAAATATGTGACTTTTATACAAAAGTACTGGAAAGCAACATGCAAAAAATTATCCATTAACCCTTAACTGCTGATTCACCGTATAGGGTACAGTCCACCTCCAGCAGTTGAATGAGAGTGTGCTGTATGGCTCGCAAAAATTCTGCAGCTACAGTCAAAGGGTTAAGCTTAATAACAAAATCAGGATAATAATGATAAAATAAAAACATAACTATCTTATAATATATGTTAATACAAGTTTATTATGAATATTATGGTGCTTTGTTTGACATAATTTCAAGATCTCATGTATGTGATATTTGTTATAAATAGAGTTATGACATAATTTCAAGACCTCATGTATGTGATGTTAGTTATAAACAGAGTTATGTTCTGCAGATAGGTTCGTCGTGAGACCTGCTCACACGAATAGCAGGGTTTAAAATGTTGCCAATTGATAAACACAAAGTAATGTTCTCTGGATATTTTTCCAAGAAAAGGCATAAAATTTTTAGGGTCTGACTTTTTTCCACAGATCAGTAGGGTTACCACAAATACAAAAGTTTTATTCCTAGGCCTAAGGAAGTCTACAAATGGAATCCTGCCAACTGGTACATTAAAAAGAGGAATTAAAGGGTACAAAAAAAGATGGAAAATGAATTTGAAGTCAAACCTTTCAGAGCTACAGAACACTAAGATTCATATAACTAACCAAAATACATAAGCAGAAAAGACAGCATTGTGGTATATGCTGAAAAATATGTAGATTGTACAACAATAACAAGCCCAAACAAAAAAGAGAAACCTATCTAGATCTAAAGAAGAACATTTTTGAGAAAACACACAAACTGTGCAAACCCCAAGAAGAATGAACCATAAGTGGAATTTTGGGGATGGGGGGGGGGAGCAGTTAATGTCCACACTATTTGTTTCTGTTGGATATAGTGTACACATGACACTCACAATAACTAAGCCAGCTGCTCCCCCCTCAAAAATTTTTGGTCCGAAATTATGCCCATGAACAGAACATTCATATTCTTGGAACATAAAATGTTACATTTAAAAGAGTTTAAATTCAGAGTGATGATAACCAGAAGTAAGTAACAGCATGAAATAAGACTTTTAAACAAGTTCCCAGCAAAGAACAAGTCAGAGATTAAAAAATACAAGTTAAAAGTCTTAAAACAAGTACAATGTTCCATTCATAAAACCACTATAATGTTTCAATCATTATAATATGTCAGTTAAGAGATTGAAAAAAAATGTCATAAAGAAAAAGAAAATCTACTGGAGATGAAACTGAGTGGGAAATAAAAAAGAAAACTTAAAAACAGAAGATGGACAATGCACCAGTTAAGGAAAAACAAAATTTTCTTAAGGAATCTCAATGACAGATGTTACATAATGATAATTATCTAATGCAATAAAGGCTAGAAGCAAAAGAATTCAAACACGAGAAGCACATAAACTAATTGTTTTTTAGGTGTACATAAATTCCCGAGAACCTAAAATAAAGATATCATGGAAGAAAGCATTAGATAAAAACAATGCTTATCTGTTTACGAGTCCAAGTTGAAGTTGAATTGGAACTGAAAACAAAAAATATGCTTCTTAATGATATACACACTTTTTACATTGTCTGTCAAATCAAGAAAAGCACATGGTGACCCGTGAATTGGAGAGTAGTAACATGCAATTTTGGTGTAGGAAAGCAAGGCATCATAAGTCATATAAAAGTCATAAACAACATGCATAAAATTTACAAAGGTGAAAAAATTGGCAAATTAAGAAATAAAAGTTCCACAAATATATAAATATGACTAATCTCAATTGTAGGAAAATATTAAAAGAAAAACAAAGAGTTTTTATCTTAAATTAATAAACAAGAACAAAAGAATCCAAATGTGACAAACTTTTTGTGAAACAAAAGTCATATCTGTTAAATAAATAATCGAAGAATGGGTTAACAAAGTAAACTTAGATATATGAAATTTTATCACTAGTAGAGAGAAATATCTTTAACTTCTGAGATGTTTAAAAAATTAAAGTTCATTAGAATGTACAGTATTAGCTACTTGTCAATCCAGAATATACATGTACAGTATTAGTTACTTGTCAATCCAGAATAGACATGTACAGTATTAGCTACTTGTTAATCCAGAATAGACATGTACAGTATTAGCTACTTGTTAATCCAGAATAGACATGTACAGTATTAGTTACTTGTCAATCCAGAATAGACATGTACAGTATTAGTTACTTGTCAATCCAGAATAGACATGTACATTATTAGCTACTTGTCAATCCAGAATAGACATGTTCAGTATTAGCTACTTGTCAATCCAGAATAGACATGTACAGTATTAGCTACTTGTCAATCCAGAATAGACATGTATAGTATTAGATAGATAGAGGATAACATATGAAGAATGGCAAACGATGCAGGAAATATTAAGGACATAAATATTGGAATGATGATGATCGTATGCCAGGAAAGAGGTGTGAAGGGAAAAATGGTACAAGGAACATGTTACAATGGATTTAAAGGGAGAACCGAACAGGGCATGAAGGAAAACATTGAGCTCCCAATCCATCAGAACAAGAAATGAGGTAAACAGACCAGATGAAGCAAATGGAAAAGGACGGAAATAACTGGGGAGGAGAAGGCTTTCTTGAAGTGAGAAGATGGAAGATGTTCAACAGGGCAGCCCTATAATGATCAACAGTTGAAATGGACAAACCCTGATCAAACAACCAGGTGATGAACAGAAGGATCAGATGGTTGGAAACTAATGCAAATGGACCAAAATCTGAGGTAAGACCTAATGACTGTGGTACAAAGACAAGGAGGAAGAGTGAATGGTATGGGCAAGGAAAGACGTTACATGAGGGGTGAGCCCCTGAGCTAAGTCATGGGACCGAACAAAGCCAAGCATAAAGATGTAGTTTGGTGATGTTGGGATGAAATATGACCAATCGCGGTTGATAGAGGAGCAATCACGACAGAGATAAGGGCTTCCAGAGGCAGAGGGAACCACATCTGAGTCAGCCAATATGGAGTAACCAGCAAAACACAACAAAGAGTGTTCTGAATAAGAGAAATGACTCTGTAGAGGAGTCTGATTGAAGGGTAGACAAATAGGTGAAGACCCCTCCAATCTTGACTGAAAGCATCCACCCCCAGAACTGAGGGATGAGGAACTAGAGACTAAAAGGAATTGAGTGGCAAATCTATCTACATGAGGGTTCCCAGTTGAGAACACACCCACTGAAATACCTGAAGATAAAGGGACCATTCCGTGGGGAGAACCCGGGAACCTAGTTCGGATGGGATGAGTGACTAGCCACAAGGTTCATAATTCTGGGAGCATGACACACCAGAACCTTCATGTCATGGCTGTTGGCTTAGTGCAGGAGCTCCAGAGTCTGAGAACACAGAGATTGGGACTTGGTTCCACCTAGCTTGGTGATATAGCTGACAACAATGGAATTTTCAGAATGAACCATAACCACCCACCCCTGTAGGAACATGAAGAAATGATATAGAGCCTGATGAACTGCCAAAAGGTTCTAGGATGTTGAAATGGAGAGTAGTCTCCTTGACTGACAACTGACCCAAAATATTTTGGGAAGCGAGGAAAGCCCCAACCCATCAAGGAAGCATCTGTTAATGGTTGAAACTAAGTACAAGGCCGAGGAATGGGAACCCCCACTTTGGTCAAGTCCCTGTTGGGTCAACAAGCAAAATTTGGCCCTTATTCTAGGTGGAAGAGAGATAGGATGGTCCAAGGGATCAATGAAGTTCCACTGGTGGAGAAGCATTCATTGAAGGGAACACATATGCACCTGACCAAAGGGAATGAGAGCTTCCATGGAAGCCCACATCCACAAAAGAGATAGAACCTTCCGTGCAGAGAGAGAAGGAGAAAGTAGGACCTTTGTGACTGCTCACTCCAAATCCTGGAGCTGAAGCAGAGAAGGCTGGTTGTGACTGAGATGGGAATTGAAGAGAACCCCCAAATGAATAAGAAACAGGGTGAGGGTAATAAAGGACTTCTAAAATTTGATGAGAAACCCCACAAAGGCAGCTTTTCAAAGAAGCAGGTATGAGTGACTGACTGGGCACGGGAACAGGTGAGCAGTAGCCAGTCGTTCATGTAATGGTGAGTCCGAAGACCCAGCGAGTGAAGATGATGTGCAAAAGAACTTGGTCATCCAAAGTCCCATGGGAAAAAAAACCTACCAAAATGAGAGGTAGGACTTCATGGTGAAGCGAGGGGTCTCCAGATAAATATACAATCGGAACAAATTTATGATGGGTCTCCAATTTCATGTGGTTTTGTTTTGGAAATAACAAATAGATAGGAGTAAAATCCCAGTTGATTGTTCACCATCCGTTTGATAGCTCCTTTGTGTAGGAAGTCTCAAACAGACTCAGCAAGGCAACTGGAAGAGGTGTGATCCTGAGAGGAGGGAAGGAAATCTGGGAAATGGATAGAGGGGGAAGCAGAACTAAATGCAGAAATCTTCATATAGAATCCATTGAACAGTCATGAAGTGTAGCCAAAAAGACACACAAACTAAACATTAAAATAGAGAAAATACTCATTACAAAAAACTAACAAAACCTAGAAATTTTTAGAGTCCACAAGGTACATAAAAATGACAAACCAGCAAAACTATGAAAATCGACCTAAAAGCGAAAAGAATAAGCAACACCTAAAGCACTAAAGGACCTTAGAAGATAAAAGGCCTGTAAATATCAAACTTATAAGTTCACTGAAAGAACCAATAAGACTATGAACATGAAAGTAAAACCTACACTGAAGGACATGAGAATAAAAAGGTAACCAGTTAACAATAATAAATGTTGACTCCAATCTAATCCCCTAAAGAAAAAGGCATTTACAAATAGGGTAACACAAACAGTGAAAAGAAGTATAAATAACGAAGCAACACATCTACAAAATTGGCCAAAGTTTCAATTACCCAAACAGTAACTAACAAACAAAACCTACACATATACCAAAAATGAAACAAAACAAAGTAATAAACAAACCCTAAATGCACAGTTAAACTAAAGTAACTGAGATGGTAAAATAATTTTAAAAATTGAACTTTCCAAATACTGAGCGGAGAAGTCATGAAAGACCTAAATTGTTGTGTGCAGAAATTAGGTCCATCCCAAAAGCTCACATAAGCTCGCTAAATATGGGTATACTAACTGAGAGTGAGGAATACACACTGAAAAACTTACCACAGATCTCCTGGGAAAGAGAACAATACCTAATCCAGCAGATTATGTGGAGGTGCAGCAACAGGTGGAAAGTGCCATAGAAAGAAATTTCCACTCAGTAGTTATATCCTTCTTCACAAAATATCATAAAATGAAAGGAAGAAATTGTTGGCAGCAGAAACAATGAAAATCAACCACAAGTTGAATCAGATATAAATTAGTGATCAAGCACAATCAAGTTTTTGTAGCCACATGGAGAACGAGTTAAAACACGTCTATACACTAAAATGCCAATCGAGAAAGTGAGGATTGTGCTAGAATAATAGATGTAACTACTTGCATTAGTATAGATGGGGCAGTAAGATTGGTGGAGGGTTGTCACACGATCAGCACATGTTTTGAAATGGTGGAAAAATGAAGGGGTATAAAAGACTGGTGCACTGTTAGCGATAAAATTTTAGCTATGCTTAGAGGGCAAACCAAGGTTGAGATAGCTTTGAGTGAGGGGAGATAGTACCATTTCATAAATCAGTGGGTTTGATCCTATTCTTTTGGCTCAGCCCTTACCAGTCAGGTAGCTACAGTCTTCCATAGGCAGAGTATGACTATTGGAGCTTCCTGTCTCACTTCTGACATCAAACACCCCTCTTATGATGTCATGCATTTTTTTAGGGTCACATAATTTGATTACATACATGTATCTGTTCTTGGTTGCTGAAACAAAGTTTACAACAGAGAAATTTAGCTATATACACCTTTCATTTAGTTTGAACAATTACCAAGTTACAAAATACACTCAAAGTAGGAATGAACGAAACAATGGTCACACCATTTTGATGTTGCACCTTGTCAAAAACCAAGTGTTGTAATGCTATCCCACTCATTCCAATGTTGTTCCCTTACTTTTTGGTGCTCCAATTCCTACTTCTTATTTTTTTATTTAAAATTTGTTTACACTTGTTAGTACTATTATTACATCTATTTCACTGTACATTCATCTCTCACAGACTCTCTGTTACCCACCTTTACTACATCTGATGATTATACCTGTACATCTCTCAATTATTCTGTTGCCCATTGCTAACCAAACCTGTTGACTATGCATGTACATCTCTCAGTCATTCTGTTGTCCACTTTTACATCTGTAGATTATACTTGTGCATCTCCCAGTCAATCTGTTACCCACCTTTACTACATCTGTTGACTATACCTGTACATCTCTGTCATTTTGTTACCCACCTTTTTAACATCTGTTGATTATAACTGTACATCTCTCAGTCACTCTTTGCCCACCTTTAACTAGACCTGTTGACTATATCTGTACATCTCTCAGTTATTCTGTTGATTATAACAGTACATCTGTCATTCTGTTACCCACTTTTAATACATATGTTGACTATACCTGTACATCCCTCAATCACTTTGTTGCCCACCTTTACTACCTCTGTTGACTATACATGTACATCTCTATCAGTCATTCTGTTACCTACCTTTACCACATCTGTTGATTGCACATGTACATACAGTGTTGCTTATACACATAGCTTATTAAGTCATATTGCTGTTCACAAAATCTAGTATATACTATATTCCCTACTAATTATTATTATTACCACAACTATAATCTATACTCACCTTCACCATATCTGTTGACTGTACATCTTCTACAAGAGTTCTTTGTAACTTGTGTAAAATGTCTTCAATCACTTCACGCTTTTGCAGCAGTCTGTCTTGTGCTTGTGACAGTAAAGCTTTTCCTTCCTTTACAAATGTAAATACAATGTGTTATATCAATTTTCATTTAGAAAGACCAAAACAAGTTAATAAAAAAAATCAAGAAATCACTGGACTCTTTTTGTGCATATGCCTGTATGAACTAGTCCAGTTTTTCACTTCTTTAATTCACTTGAAAAATTAAAAAAAAAAATCTTTGGCAATTATGCTATGGGATTAGAATGGGTTCTGAACTTTCACATGCTGTGGAAAAACAGCAGTTAAAAGAATGTCCAAATATTTTTAAACAATTTTACTGTAGGAATTATGTTAATGTTATCTTTGTAGTTTTTCAGATACAAAAGTGTGCTACTGAATTTTTGCATTATCTGAATAGTATACAATTTACTGTGGATTTAGTGAAATAAAATCAGTGTGAACTCAGCCTAAAAAAACTAGAAGGAAGGAGTACCCTCTTCATTATGTGATATTTTGATAAACTTAACTCTACATTACAAAGAGAGAAAGATGGCGAGGTTTAGTTGCACTTTACAAGAATGGTATTCCAGGTTTTACACTACTTTGGATCTACTACTTCCATCATCAGCTGTGCTAATCCTGATGAGCATGTTCATGGTCTAATGTCCAACTAAACCTGCTTTTATACTGAGCTTCTGCAAAGGACAGTGAAGTCAACCTTGAACCACACATCTTGACAAACTTTACACAGACCAAAGACAAATTGACTCTACATTTAAAGTCTTGTCAAGTATGTGCTCAGTTAGGGTTACTCTAATTCCAGTTTCATTGTCTATTCTAATGAAAGTAGCCAAGTTGCAACTGGAAGTATGGAACCTTCATAAACTTCAAATTCTTGTTTATTATCATGTTACTGATGCCATGGGATACATTCAGCTTCATCATAATGACTTTTTTAGGTTGAGTAATAGTCTTTTTGTAACCACAGCCCTCTATTTGCAAACACTGGCATTGCTTAGGAAATTATTTCAGAGCCCAAAGTTATAAGGACTCTACTGTACAAGTTAACACACAGTACATAGAGAACACTTGGAAAGGACTGTGACTTATTTCTCTAGCCAGAAACCTATCCCAGCAGCACTGCACAAGTTGAATGGAAAGGAACCCTCCATGAACCAACTATATACCTGCTAAACAAACTGACCAAAGCACCGTGGCTTACATCCGCAGTGACAAGTCTCTGCATTAGTTACTACAAAGTACAATTAAAGCTCTGCATATATTATTGTAATGAATTTGATACTGCTAGGTGAGTTTTTTGGGTTATTTGATAATATGAATAATGGAAAGTCTAGCTCACTTACTGATAACAAAACCATTTTATTCTTGAATGAATGTTTTCCAACAGGCCCATCTTTACAAATAAACTAAGTCCAACAGAAATTCCACTTACTTGCTAACTTTCTCATACATATGGCACTTTATCATATCTGTATTACTTCACTGAAACGTGAGCTCATTAGTCATAACAATGAAGTAACTAACTAACTAACTGATAAAAAAAGCAAACTGAACAAACCATGCACTGATTACTCATTAAATTACTAATCAACCCAATAATTAAGTGTATAGCCTAACTTGCTTTTGATATATGACTCAAATTCTTTCCTTTACTTTGGAAAAAGTTTTACACATTAAGACCAACCCCTTCCTTTTAAGATAAACTTCCTTCCGGTTAAACAACAATACGTATTTCTACAAATGTTTCAATTAAATACATAGGCCACAACTGTATATTATACACTTGGTGGTGCAGTTAATAGAGCAGTGTCTTTCTGAACACTAATGAGAGCCAAGCATCCTTAGTTCAAGGACATCTTTCTTAACATCCCAATTTATTATTTGAGTATGGAAGTACACTATGCTAATATAACAACAAATTGGCAAACAATGATTTATAAGCATAATGAAGCAGTTTATTTTTTGACGAACATACAATATGTTTCAAAAGAACATCAATCTTTATTTTTCTTATACCCAGAGAAGACAGATCAATGTTCTATCGAAACATGTAGTATATTACCCCAAAAATAAACTGCTTCATTATGCTTATAAATTATTGCTTGCCAATTTATTATTCTGACTTGTTATAACACACATACCATGTGGTTAAACTTCTCCACACGCTTCACTATAAATCTGCCTACGAATGTTAATAATTTATTTAATTATAACTGAGAAAAATAATAATCATTCAAATAATTATCCATATTTGTACTATGTTTTAAATGTACTCATTACAACCTTTTTGTCATTCACATTTTATTTGAATTATAACCAATCTCTTCATCTAGAAGTGCTACAAAAAATCATAATTTTGTTATTCTTTATTATGTAATTCTTGGTAATTACAAATCCAATGAAATATAAATAAAACATGAACTTACTATCAATCTCTTTTGAAAACCAGCAAGAGCAGTATCTATGTTACTTGATAGGTCTTGGGAGTTTTCTTCTGTCTTAACACACACACAAAAAAAAATGACATATTAACTTACTTTACTTACTTAAACTGATCCATTTAGATTACTGAACAAAAATAATAGCCTTTGGGTATACAAAAGTCACCCAATAATTAATTATAACAATGTCAATTTCACTTTTTGACAACTCTTTTAAACTTGGATGTCAGTTAACATCTATTTTTGCTAAAATATTTCCATGAGCTTATTTTGTTTCAAAAGCATTATTAGACATTCAGTTGTACCAAAGGAATTCTAATGTAAAATATTTCCTGTTATTTGCACTCTAGTAAATATAGGTATATTTAGGAATGTACTGCTAAACTTCACACTACTTTGATTTCTTTTTTTTTCTTCAGCATTTATAAAAAACTTACCACAGTTAGTGGTGTAAAAGATGTGGTTTCAATTAGTAAAAAATTTCTAATTTCTTCCATTCCATTACTAGGAAGCTGTCGCAGAATCAACAACTGTGGAGCCCCCTTCCGAAGAAAATCACCAATCAACAACTCTGACACATTTTCCCATGTCTGAATGACCTGCAATGAAGATACGTTGATTGGATAATCAACTACATAATCTATGTAAGTATATAATTAAGTACAAGTAAAGACTGGCATCTGGTTCATGAAGCAGTTCTGACCCATCCACCAGCTATCAGGCAAACAATAAAAAATGAACAGATAATTAAGCTAAAGTAGAGCTTATGTTTAGTATCTTTGAATTAATATTTGTTACTTATTGCTGTATTATTCTGGTGTTTAATACAAATAAACTTGAATAAAGCTATAATACATTATCTTCCTCAATCACTAGTGTCCAGCCTGTTGAGACTGCACTCAGAATACTACGCAAATTGTCACTTGCACCAAGTTGGACAAACTTCATCTAAATGAATTAGTTTCCAATGATACAATGAAGATTACATCTAACATCAGTAACTGTAATATATGGATAGGATAGTCTGTGGGATAAATAGAGAGAAAATAATTAGATTGGGTTATCTAGGGGATGGGTTGAAGGAAATAAGTGAAAGGGTGCTAACATAGGGGTAATGATATACGAAAGGGGTAGGTCATGGGAGCTAACTGATGGGTACAGGGTGTTGATAAAGGTCTATAACGTAATTCTGTCAAGGTTACTACTGAGACTTAACTGTGGGGATGAGATTATAAGTATGTCAGTAAGGCTGAATGCTAGACTTAGGTTAATATGTAAGGAGGAGCAAATCAGCTCATTGGAGTTGTGGGATCAGTTCAATGGGAAAAAGAAGCTTATTGAAATGGATGGTTATATTTAAGTAGTGTATGGGTTGGCTTGTTTTCAAGGACTATTAATTCAGCAGTAAGAGCAGTTTTAAACTAAGACTTGACAGTGGTAAGGGCCAAAATAATGAAAGAAAATAAGATGTAGAGAAAAGTATAAGGTGGAAACAAAGTGAAATTAGTTTTAAGGGTAAGCTAAATTGTTACTGTTGTAGTATTAATACAACTTTTATTGCATATGAAATAAAATTGATGACTTTAGAGCACTGGTTGGATTATAATATAATTGGATTAACTGAAACTTGGTAAATACATATGATGTTAATGACAGGAATTTCTCTAAGATACATTGTGATAGTGTATTTAGTAAGGACAGAATAATAAAAAGAGGGGGAGGGGTGGCTTTATATGTAAAATGTGAATTACATCCTGTTGAAGTTGAGGATGTCAAAGATAATAGCAAGAAGACTAAAACTATCTGGGTTTCTGTCAGTGGATATATGGAGAGAGGGTTTTTAGAAATTAATGAGACACTATTAATGAGATAAAGATTTCAACTGTTAAAGTCAATAATGGGTGATTTTGAATTCAGGCATATAGATTGGGAAATGCTAGAGTCAAACCATACGGAAGACGGGTTTTTAAAACAGGATAATTTTCTTCACCAATTCACCAGGGAATCTGTTAGGACAGTGCTATTTTAGATTTATTGTTAATTTCTAATAGAGAATGCTTGAGAAATTGGAGACTGGGGAACATCTGGGTGCAAGTGATGCTTGCTCTATTAGATTTTACAGCAATATGGAGATCAGGAATAATGATATTTTGATTACAAATTTCTAAAAAGCAAGTTTGGAAGGAATGCAATAAAAGTTATCTGTTGTGAATTGGGCAGCTGAATTATTTGGAGACACTGATGAAATGTGGACAAATATTTTAAATATTCAATATAGGCAGGTTCTTTATGGAAAAAAAAAAGATTGACTGCAAGTAAAAAACAAAATAGCTCACAAAGGGTATGAAGGATAAAATTAAATATACCATTATAAATTTAAGAAGTTAAAATTGTCTGCTATGGTGGGAGACTAAGAGAATTATAGAAGATAAAGGGAGTTAGGGAAACAGGAAATAAAAATTTTTGACTGAAAATGTAAAAAATAAACAATAAGGATTTCTTTAAATGAATTTAGAGTAAGCAAAATGTTAGGATGGGAGTGTGGCCTTTGAGGGATTATGAAATTCATATCTGATGATTATGAGATACCTGGGTTATCAAATCCTACCTTTTTACCAATTTTTACTAATGAAGATTTAAGAAATATTCCTCATTCTGAACAATTGCTAGATGGAAACAAGGTTGAACAAGATGATCACATTAATTATGAGCTTGTTCAGAAAAACAATGGGACATTTAAAGAATAAGGCTTCTAGCCCAGATACTATTTCTCAAGGGTTTTGAAGGAGGTTAAGGATTGGATATGTAAGCCACTTGCTACTATTTTTTGTAAGTCCTTGAATAGTGGGAAACTGCCAGAAGATTGGAAGTTGACTAATGTTACTTCTCTTTTCAAGTGAAGAGATAAATATTATCTCTGTATTTATAGGCCTAGTAGTCTTACCTCAATGTTAAAAAAATATTTTTGGAAGTTTGAAAATGATGTTTTGCAAAGTTATTTAATAAAGTTAAAAATTTTGTTGGATAGTCAACATGACTTCATAAGGGGAAATTTTTTTCGTACTAATCTTCTGACATTCTTTGAAGAGATTTCTTCTTATATAGATGAAGGTAGGGGTGTGGATTTGGTGTATCTATTATTTTCAAATAGAATTTGACAAGATGTCACATAAAAAGTTTGTTAAAAACTTATCTTAATAGGTGTGGAAGACAAGAAAAGTGACTGGATGGAAAAAAATCATAGGTTTTTATAACTAGAATTTAGTCATATTCGATTAATGTCACAAATGGGGTACCTTAAAACTCAATGTTAGGACCTATGCTCTTTTATTGATTTACATCAATGACACAGATAAAGGAATGACCATTTCAATTTGCTGACATTAAGGCTTTGGGTATTGCTGGCTGTCAAGAGGATGCTGCTGATTTACAAAAGAATTTAGGTCATTTGGTGAGATTAGCAAATAAATGACAGGTGGTTTTTAATTATAATAAGTGTAAAGTAATGCATGTGGGTTATCATAATTTGAATTATGAGTACAGTTTTGATTGAAATAATGTTAACAGTGTTATGGAAGAAAAGAAGATCAATGTTCTGGTTGATCAATCTCTCAAGCCATCCAATCAGTGTGCTATTGCTAATGGAGGGCAAATAGGATCTTAGGTTGTATTAACATAAATATTGAATATAAGACTATAGAGATTATAAATGCATTGTATAGACACTGGTTAGGCCATATTTTGAGTCTTTATTTAGTCATGGGAACCTTAACTTAGGAAAAACAATGAATTGTTGGAGAGGGTTCAGAGAAGGGCTACTGGGATGATACTAGTTGGAAAGGTTGTTATATGAGGACAGGTTAATATCTCCGAAAAAACTTTTCTCTGGAAAAAGGGTAGAGGTAGAAGACATCTGATTGAGGTATTTAATATTTTTAAGGAAATTGACAGTGTCAATGAATCATCTTTTTCAATACTTAGTGGCAAGAACTTTAGGACTAGGGGACACAAATGCAAATTATGACAGAATAGGAGTCATCCACAGCTAAGACAATTTTCTTTTTCTAACATTAGTGGGCCCTTGGAAAGGGTTGCCTACATATATGGTGGATGTAGTAAATTTAAGGGAGTTTAAAGGAAAGCTTGATAAATATATGAATAATAAGGGCTGGCTTTGAGTTACTGTTTTCTATACAGTTTATTTTAGTGGATGGTACAGCGTAGATGGACCAACAGGTCCTTTGTTGTCCATAAATGTTATGTTGTATAAGTTGTACTTAGCACAATGAACTTTACATTTATATAAGGCATAGCAAAAGTGACTATATAGTTGTTTCCTTTAGAAAATAGTTTAATTTCTAACTATTACCCTAAAATAAAAAATATTAAATTGGTTTCAATTGTTATGTAACTTTTCTTCAGTACCAAGTGCATAATACCAACCATAGCAACTGTATACTGTATAGTAACTTTGCCATACCTAGTATTAAGCATCAACAAGATCCTCCTAAGTGAGTTAACTTTTCATAATATGATAAACTTTCCATGTACATTAAAACACTCTTAGGGTGCATACCTATGATAAAAACATACATGCAACTAGTTTTTAGTGTTGCAGTAAAGTTTATATTCAATAATATTTATGCAATGAATGTGGTTGTTCTGCAGTCACTAGATGAGCAATAACATTTAATTCTGCAGCATAAAAAAATATTAAACAACAACACAAATGCATTAGAGAAAATGTAGTACTTTAACTTCACCAACAGGTTCAGTCAGATGAATTAAAAACTATGCTTTTAATTAAAAACAAATATATTGACAAAAGTAAAATTTTCATAAGCTTTTTCTTGCATTTATGACATAAAGCAGGATAATTATTCGCATTTTGTTAATATAATTCAATAAAAGTTTAAATCCTTCTTTGCTTCTTGTTGTATACAAAAAAATACATTATTCTATTCATAATATTTATAACTCACCACACATATAAAAAATTTATATTATAAAATGAAGAATAATAAAAATTTCGTGACTTTAACACTTTATTACTACAGTAAAGAAATTTATATATATGAAAAATATTAATTTAGGTTCAACATTGTCTTGATGCTGAAAACACACACAAATGTTAACGTTAGGCATTTTATTGTGCTTATTTGATTTTTTTCAATGCTACTTAACATTGTATTGTACTTAACATTTAACCTAATACTAATAGTATTTCATCTGTTAACCAGGGAAAGATTTCATTGTAAGTAACACTGAAATACATTTTCACTCTACATACTCAAATATTAAATATAACTCTAATTTATGTTATTAATATTAATACAAATCATACCTATATTGGCAAATAAACATTAAACTATACAAGGTGTCCAAAAATTCTGGAACCATTGACACTTCAACAAATTTTACAGAATGTGTTCCACAAGCTGTTCTTGTCATTCAAAACAAATATGGATTAACAGCAGGATTAACTCTACCTTTTCACGCTTTGAGAGTGCAATAATCAGTCACATATCTGAAATTAAAAGAAGCTGCAAATCACTTATGATTCCACATTTTTCAGACACATGGTATATGTAGCTATTAAAGCTGACTATAATAAATATCAGGATGCATAGCTAAGGTTATCTTATTCATTATCCAAAAATCACAAACAATCTCATAAACTGTATTAATCAAGTAACTTCACCTGTACTTGTGCACTGTTCCTCTTGGATACTACACAAGCATCACTCTTAGCAGACTGTAATAAAAAACATTCCTTATTCAGTAATGAACATCTTGTAATTTTCCATGCATCTGAGAATGGAATCTCACAACAGTATTTTATACACCCATGCACAAAAACAATGAACTGTTTGTAAATTGTACAGGCAACAGTAGTGTTGTACTCAAATTTATGAAAATGTTTTTTTCCCAAAGAATTTTCCACAGAGCTTGTAAAGTACACTTTTGTTGCAGTGACTAAAGATTTATAAGCTTCTGGAAAAAAGTAAGCTCCAGGTAGAAATGAAACTTCATTGCTGCTCCATTGCAAAACCAGAAACATTACTTCTTGGTCCTGGTAACTAAATTTTGAATTCCTTCCAAAACTGACAATAAATAATTCATCTTTTGTTAAGATAGGTTCAACAAACAGAATCTTTTCTATTGGAGTATTTTTTAATATAAATTGCTTTTGCTCTTGTTTCTCAGAAGAAAAGACATTTAATTTATTTTCTACACACCATATCATGTATGGTCCATCACAAAGACACAATTTCTGTGATGAAAGATTTTTAAAATCTATGTCACAAACATCACAAGTGTATATCTCAACAAATTCTTGAAGACTTCCATTTTCTGCCTTTGCAGATATGTCACGATGCTCATTTGTAAATTTAAACAACTTCAACACGGCTGAGTTTTGATTTTGTAATTGTACAATAATATAAATGGATTTTGAAAAAGTAGGAAAATCTGCCAATAAACCACTGGTACAATCAACCACGTCAACTAAACTTGCACTTTTTGAAGATCTATCACCAACTTTAGCACTGTCAGCGTATATCTGATGAAAAGAACGTGGTGTAACTTTATAAGTTCCTTCCTGTGAATCAAGAAAAAATCCATAAACAACGCTCCTTAAAAGCATGGGTGACGAGTTTATCCTTGTTTTCGAATAGGAGCAGGAGCTGTGTAAATTCCCGGTACTCGAGTTTCAAGGATATGTAATTTTCCAAGATATTCATATGCTCGAGAAAACATTTGGCAGACAGCGTACAAAACAAACATTAACATTAATTATGAACGTATTAATCAAATTTGGCTCATAGGTTCTGTCATAAATATGAACATAACCTAAAACAACAATTACACATCACACTATCTCAATTTTTAAGTTTACTTTATATTTCATACTCAGTTGGTGAATGTGCCCCCTGTTGGATATTAGGTTTGAAATATTATGAATAAATAGGGAATGGATATGACGGACCGATTAAAGAATGTAATATTTAAACTTCAATAAATCTAATACAATAGTTTTATTTGATATTACTGTTATTTTAAATTAAGGCCCGGCATGACCAGGTGGTTAGGGCGCTAGACTCTCAATCTGAGGGTCGCGGGTTCGAGTCCCCGTCACACCAAACATGCTCGCCCTTTCAGCCGTGGGGGCGTTATAATGTGACAGTCAATCCAACTATTCGTTAGTAAAATACTAGCCCAAGAGTTGGCGTGGGTGGTGATGACTAGCTGCCTTCCCTCTAGTCTTACACTGCTAAGTTAGGGACGGCTAGCGCAGATAGCCCTCGTGTAGCTTTGAGCGAAATTCAAAACAAATATTTTAAATTAAACATTGTAAATTATTCTAAATGAAGAAAATATATGAACATATTTTTCCAAAAATATTTCAAAATTTAAGATAAATTTTGTATCATATAAATTGTGCTTTTATTTAACTTTTAAATCTTCACAAATTAATTATTTTATTTATACATTTAAACAAATGGTATTGACACAACCAGTTATATATAAATATATATATATATTAACCGTAACATTAAAACTTCACCCTTTTTCTTTTCCTTCTTTATTGTCCCCCCAGTGGATCAGCAGTGTAGTACTAAACAGTACTGTGTACTTGCCACCCTTTAGGTTAAGATGTAATATTTAATAATTAGTGTGTCTTCAGAGTTCTTGCAAAGAGTCACTCAAGTAATACTTTCCCAGATGTGAGAACATACAAGATCTGGATTTGCTAAGTGGTAATTAACAGATTTCTTTGCAGGAAAGAGAGTACGTAATGTCCAGAAATGGAAGTGTAGTATCTCTAGGACTTCAGGCAAAGTAGAGAAGTCCGGGGCCAGGAAAACAGAAGGTTCGCGTATCTCGTATGTGGGTGTGTTTCCCGACAGGAGTGAGGGTTGAGCTACAAAGAATGAAACAAGACACACAGATTTACACGAAGAAATCAATCTTTAATTTAAGTATTGGCATTCTACAGAAAACAGACAACAAAGCATTATTAGAATGGAGGTGTTAC